ACCAAGGGACAGCCTTGCCGGGGATTGCATTTGCTGCCCTGGCCCCAGCACTTGGGCACACACTCCTGCGGGACGCAGCATAAATTGCACTGCAGAAAGGCGGGTAACAAGACGACACACTTGACGCCTGCATTTGCGAGCCCCCTGGGCAAGTGGTTTCTCCAGCGAGCACCACCTGGTTCAGGCTTCATGAGCCCCCAGGGCTGGGGGGAGGAAGGTTGGCACCTCTTTTATTTGCCGTGCTCCCCTGTGGCAGATTTTCCTGGCAGGGGACCTAATGCTTGGGGTTGTGCTGGTGCAGAAATGAACTTCCGACATTAGCTAACCTGTCAGGGGAGAGGGTGGGCACCCCGCGGGCTGGCGCCGTACAGCTGTGCTGTTCGCTTAAAACCCCTGAGAAGTGGGGTGTCGTCCCCTGCCATTAGCCTGGCTGAGAAATGCAGCTGTCCACTGTTGCACAGGGAGACCCCAGCCCCCACAGGACTCCCATGCTGCTGGGACAATGTGCTCGGGCAGCCCAGGGGTCCCTGGTGCCGAGGGCTCCCACCCACTGCTACAACAGGGATATTACCCTGGAAACGCTCCCGCTAGTCCTTTATTTTCGGCCTGCAAACAGCCAGCCCCGCTTTCACAATTTACGTTCATCCTACAAAGGTGGTGAAATCAGAGGGGATGGGTTACAAAGCAGCGAGTCAGCAGCTGGGAGCACCATGGCTGGGGGGACCCCCGGCTCCACCGCCCCCAGCTCCTCTCCTCCTGGCTGGATACGTACTCTGGCAAGGGGGAAAACCATCCCTGTCCATGTGTTCAAAATGCTCAGAGCAGCCCTCTGCATCAATTTGATGGTGTTTGGACCGGGCTGGTGAAGTCAGCAGCACCTCAGCCTCCTGTCGAGTGAACACAGCCCCTTAGGCCAGCTCACTGCAAGCATCTCCCCAAAATCACCAGCACTATGAAACAGCTCCTTCAGTCAAAGGTCCCAGCAAGCAGTTGAAGATCAGTTTGGGTTGGCCGTAACCAGGTAGGTAATTTAACTTTTGTGCAAGAAACGGGCTCCTTCTGGCATTTCAGCATCCAGCTAGCACTTAAAAACCAGTTGATAAAAAAGTTTAAGTTTTATGGACTTGGTGTGTAGCTGGGTCAGTATAGAACCATACAACCATGGAATGGTCTGGGTTGGAAGGGACCTTAAAGACCATCTAGTCCCAACCCCCCTGCCATGGGCAGGGACACCCTCCGCTAGACCAGGTTGCCCAAAGCCCCATCCAACCTGGTCTTGAACACTTCCAGGGAGGGGGCAGCCACAGCTTCTCTGGGCAACCTGTTCCAGTGCCTCACCACCCTCATCATAAATAATTTTCTTCCTTATGTCCAATCCAAATCTACCCTCTTGCAGTTTAAAACCCCCTGTCCTGTCACTACAGGCCTTGGTAAAAACTTTCTCTCCATCTTTCTTATGAGGCCCCTTTACGTATTGAAAGGCCGCCTACGCACAGGTAGACTGATTCTGCTGATGTTGGTCAAGGACATTTAGAAAAAAGCCGTACCTCAACTAGGAGGCTGCAAGGGAGCCTCCTGTGAGAGTGGGCAGCAGGGACGGGGACTGGGGATGCTACAGACCCCCAGAGAAGACCATCTTCTTAGGAAGCAACCCACCAAGTAATAAAACTGAAACCCTTTTGGGATACAGTCTTCTCACTTTGTAACTATTTCTACAGAAGCTGTCTAAGCGTGCAGAAAAGAAACATATTTCAACACCTCCCATCCACCCCTGACTTCAGACTTGCAGAATATATCGAGTCCCGCAGCGATCATAGGGCTGGCTACGACTGCTCTTATCCTTATTGCTCATCCTTTAACACATGTTCTTCACACTTTGTTCCTAAATTAAGCTCCTAACACCAAATTACACTCCTGAGCAGCAGGACTTTATTGACAGATATGACTTCATTCCCAGATTTCAAAACTAGAAGGCACCATCAGATCATCTGGCCTAATCTCCTCTTATTTTATACCGCAAACAAACTGCCCAAAGTCTCACTTCCAGGAAGGTATCTAGCCTTTGTTTGAAGACTTCAGGAGACATACTCCAGCACCTGTCTTTGTATTTTGCTCCAATGGCTAATTTCCTTGTAATTAAATGCCGTGCCTTGTTGCTAACACGAGATGTCTGGCATCATCAGTTTTTGTTTTTTTTCCTCTGCCAGATGACAAAAGCCCTCAAAGCTGACTTTGTAGTAACTCAGTAGCAGCTCTGAACTTCTCCTCCATTGTAAGCAAGTCACTTTTCAATCTTGAAATTCTGAAGCTTCTCGTTGTAAGACCTGGTGTCCAACTCTTTAGTATTTTTAGCTCATTCTTGCCCTCTTTTTCAAGTTTTCGGTGCCCTCAGCAAAGGTGGCCACCAGGACTGGCTGCAGTAATTCCCTCTCCACCCCACCAATACAGCGTGCAGAGGTAGAACCACAGTATTGGCTCCTTTATCATCTTCCCAAGACGGAAAGGCCTCTGTATCTTTCTGATGCTGCATTGCATGAGGTTTTCCTGCCGGATGGCCATTTCACTGTCAGCTCTACAGCTCGCCGAAGGGGTCCCTCGTGCCCTTTGCAGACTGCAGCATGGCAGGGTGGCCTGTGCTGCTCCTCCTCACGCTGCAGACATGGAGAAGGTTGGCAAGACTGCCCAGCAGACATGAAGTAACATCCAGGGGTAAGCATGCTTCTGTTATTAAAGGAAGATTTAGGAAAAAAATTGGTTTGTAATTTTTTGTTAGAAATGAGCCACAAATAGCCATTTTTTCCTAGTGATTAGGACTCCTAGTGTTTAAATTCAGAGTTCTTGCAGGCTAGGAGGCATATCTTAGGGGCTATTCTGAAGAAAATTCCTAATTCATTTTATATCCCATGAAATGCTAGTCTGGTCTGGTAGGAGCATCTTTAGGACTTTTTCCATAATAGAAGCAAATCACTCAAATAGTCACTCAGTTTTGGGAACACCTACATGCTGCAAATACCTTGGGACTTACCCCAAAGTGTCTCAAAATCTGTACCCTCCAAATACCGCTTAGATGAGAGTTTGCTAAGTGAAAATACCTTTGGAAAACTACAATTATCACAGCAAGATGTGCTCACATCAGCATCTCCCTAAAAGAAATTCCTTTGCCACTAGGTGGCAGATTATTTAATTTTTTTTTTAATTTACCACTGTGTAACTTAAAAGCAAACCCGATGTAGGTGGTGTCACAAAGCAATAAGGCTGGCATGCAGGGCAGCTGGCATTTTGTTTGCAGCATTAATAGCAAATGTAGAGGAAGCCAAGAGTTAGAGCTGCGGTTTGTGATCCTGGGCATGCAGGAGCCCTCGTGACAGGTCACCATCACATTAGGTTTCTGCCCTGGATTGTATCGACCTTCCGTCCTGCAGCTCTTCCCCCCCGCAGCTCTTCCCCCGCAGACTACGGCTCCTGGATAAAGCAAGTTCCATTTGCTTCAGCAGCCTAGGTCTACTGCAGCTATTAGCCTGCATAGGGATTTCCAGGATTTAATGTATTCTTTAACATGTTGTTGCACCAAATTACTCTGAGGGCCAATTTTGACCATCCTCATATAGCAAATACCCTCTCGGAATTCCCTGGCACGAGGAAGATGGCTGAGAGAGCGACTTGGCTCTGTAGTTATAAACGTTAGTGCATTCTTGAACTCTAGCCTTATCGGAGCATTTATAAATAGCTAGAGCCCTAAGAATTTGTAACGGGAGGTCATCTGAGGATGCTAACTCCAGGCATCTCTTCGGTCATGCGTTTCTAGGGGTTTTCCTATAGCCAGGCATTGCTCTGTGGGCTTAGCTCGTGTAAAAATGTTATTTCTCTCCTAGCTATTGCAAAACCAGCGAGAGCGGTACCTCACTAGGAAGGTGCAAAGTGATCCCAGCTTTCCTCTCCCAGTATGCCAACACGCTGCTGCTCCTGGGAGCACCGGCACTGCCCCAGCTCCTGCCCTCTCTGCAGGCAGCACCAGCGCGGGAGGGCTGTTCTGCAAACGAGCAAGTTGGTGCCTGTCACAGGGGCCGGCCCCTCTCTTCATGCCTCCACTCCTCATCCTCTGATCAGCGGCATGGCGAGGCTGTTGGGATCATCCCAGCCATGTGGGGCTGGCGCGACCGCTCTCCACATG